ACAAATTACCTATCTCAGGGTTGAAAGAAGGACATTGCTAGAACTGCTAATGACATTAAAGGATAATTAGAGGGTATTATGAACAACTGTACTTATAAGCTTCATGTTTTAGATGAATATAAACAACCTTACAATATGTCATCCACTAATTAGACTTCTAAGAACACACAATAAATAAGTAAATACATAAGTTGTACCAAGATGTGTGTAAGTTGCTTACTTTATGTTGAAAAGCTGAAATCAACCTTGAATTTATAAAAATGGGTTAATATAGTAAGCTGATGTAGAATAACCGTGACGATGCTGATTGCAAAGCAGGTTCTCCCGTAGGCAGGACTGAGGGTGTAGCGCATGCGTGGTGGGGCCAGGTCCCGGGTTCTTTTGCCCATTGCACAGAGGAAGAGGGAAGGAGAGGGAAAGAGGCTGTCAACAAATGATGATCTCAATGTAAAAAGAAAAGTATAAATAAGAAATGGAAATGTACCTGAAGTTAGTTTGATGAGATACACTTAATTTGTTAGACCATTTAACTAATTGATGTGTTCCTGTATTTTCCAGCTTTGCTAGTACTACAGTGTGCCAGTACCGTATTTTAATGATCATATACCAGAAAGCTGGTTATATCACTAAAAATATCAATTGCTCTTTTTTCTATATTAAAAACGCATGATATGACCTGTGTTTTGATTGCAGTTGATTTTATTTTAAAATCTAAAGTCATTTTTTGTGAAGAGCAAATAGTATTTCAGTATCTTTTCGTCCTTCATCTGGCAGGCACATTTTGAGCGTATCTTTATACTTCCTGTTTTAGCTTGGTGGACAAATCTACATCTCTACTCTTGCTGTTCACTATTGCTCTCAGTTTAAGGGTCATGGAGCAAAACATGTTTCTTTTCTCCTTTAATCATCACATTTTTATTTTTCATGCTACAAAGCTAAATCATGATTCAGTGAAGTATCTAGCACTGGTTGAGATTTGTCTTTTCTCTCATTTTTCAGACAAAATATCAAGGTTAAAGGAGGAAAGATTTAACTTACCTCACAATTTGTAAAGGTTTCAGTCCTTAATCTGCTGGGTAGAAGCAAAGTGGCAAATGGCAGCGGGACAGCAGTTTATAGTGGCAGAAGCCAACAAAAACAAGGGAGAGAGGAGAGAGGACATGTCTACTTTGTCCCTTACATTCTTTGTAAACTACCTGCTCTGCACTGGGGTAGCACTCACTCCCTTAATCCCAACACCCATAATCCCAGCATTGGACCATGAATCAATCAGGAGCTCTAGATTCCGCCACCGCCAAAAAGCCTGCTCCCATGTCTGCATGAGGCTTTGGGGGTGCACCTAGACACAACCCTAACAAGACTAACCTCCTTTCCATTTATGCATTGTCATGTTCTACCCAAGCATTTAATATTTCACATCTGAGTCACAGTTAATAGCTAAACTTTGTCCTGTCCATTCATTCTTAAACAGTTTCTGGGATAAATTCAAAACACAATGAGTATCCTTTCCTTCGTAGAAATCCTATAGTAAATAGCTCCCAGGTTATATTGAAATTACCATCATAGGGTATAACTAGAAAATTGGTTAAAAACTTTGGTGTCGTCATCTGAAGTAGACTTAAACTCTCTTTTGGTGTATGAGGGTTAAGATCTCAAGCTATGTAAGGATTATATGTATATGCTTTTGCTCAGAGTAAGTTGGCCTTTTTATTTCTAACCACTGTTTACAGTTATGTATAATGCATTAAAAAATAGAGTTGGAACTTGGTACAGAGAATGACAGCAAACTCGTCAGATTGTCATATTACATACTGTCTTACTGTATGTGGGGCTACATTCTGAGAAATCTTTTGTCCCACCCAACTCATTGTTATTCATGTACAATCTTTGACAACATTCTTGATCCCTCCTTCTCTTCAAACCTCATAGTTGTTCTTGTCAACTTTAATCCTACCTAAATACTCTCACTGAACAGTGTAAATCAGAGCTTATCATTTTCAAAGCCATTGCTTGCCTTCTGATTGTCTTTAAAAAAAATAAAGTCTGAAATCCTCAACATGACCTTGGCTCACCTCACCTAATCACAGCTTCCAGGCTCAGGATACCTAAGCCCTGTGGCTCTCCTCTAGTTTTTTTTTTTTTTTTTAAACCAGGGATCGAACTCAGGACCTTTTACTTGCCAGGCAGGTGCTTATGTCATTGAGCTATCTCCCCAGGCTTCTCCTCCAGTTTTTGAATGCAGCACATATTCCTGTCTCAGTTTTCATAATGCTGCGACATCGTCCCCTGCTTCCCCACCTCATCTTCCATTTCCCCACCCACCACCCATAAGTTGTCCCCAGGTTAATTCATTGGTTTACACTCAGTATTCAAATATTACCATAAATATGTTTTTTCTGGGGAATCTTCTTGGACCTCTCATCTAAACTTGGTTCTTCTCTTTATTTACTATTCTTATAGCAGTTATGATAGCTTTTAATAATACCATGTTTGGTGTAGTGTTTTTGTGTAACACTTTTCTCCTATATCATCCTGAAAAATTTAACTATCCTGAGGACTTGTTTATTCTTTGCTCAGCACATAAAAGGTACCCAGTAAATTATTTTAGATGAATGAACAGAAAAAAGTATAGTGAATAAGTATAGAAAAGAGTGGGAAAAGAGTGCAATTTTATTATTTCTTAACTTAGCTATTTTAACCTATTAATTAGTAATATTATTTAAAATTATAATCCTCATATGAGACTTGGGGAGAAAGAAGCCTTCATGTAATATGTAAAGAGGGAGATATTTTATATACTCTTTTGTTTGTGTATCAAATATTTGTTGACTGGGTCAGAAGATAAATAGAATTATTATAGAAAGCTACCTAGCTAAATATATTTAAAAACATCAGTTTCTTTTTATTGACTCACTATTTCCAGGTAAGAGTTTGTCATAAGGAATAGATCTAAATATGGAAAGGGTTATATATTTAAAAGATATTTCTCGCATTGTTTTTTATAGTAGTAAAATACTGGAAATAACTTAAATTCCCCTCCCCCCCAAAAAAAAATGGCTAGGTAAAGAATAGTGCATCTACTGGATAGTATTATGGATAACACTTATGCTGAACATTAGGAATTCATAATTATTTCTAAGCTATTTTAATACAAATGTAAGGAACATAGTTTTGAGAACACATTTATAAATTCTATTCAGAGAGGAAGAAGACTGGAAAGAAATGTCATGCTGCCATTACAGTGAGTGATTTCTTTCTTTTTTATTTTTATTTTTATTCATTTTAATGAGAAAAAAGATAAAAAAGCAATGAGTTTCAAAATAGGTTAGTAGGACAGTTATAATAATTAATACATTGCATATTATTGTCTTCATAGCAGTTTTTCAGAGGATAAGATGTAGACATATTTTATATAAACAATATTAGTACAAACCTTTCTTCTCAATGAACTAAGAGAAAGTAGCTGTGTATCAATCTACTTTGTATATACATATATATTTTTCCACAACAAAAACAGTATTTTATTTATACTTTTGCAAAGTTAGTAACATGTGATGAAAGATTTCCAAGTGACTAATAGCTGCCTTTAACCAGACAGGATGTTTATCTCAGGACTGAGGTAGCTAGTTTGCTTTAGGCACTGAGATCTACTCCCACCTATGCACATTTGATCAATTTCCTAGCTTCGTGTCTTCGTTATTTGTTTTGTGTGATATGTGTGTTCCATTGCAGTTAGAGAAGCTTTATTTGGAGATGTCTTTAAAGGACTTTTTCTTACTTGATGCCAGTCCAAAGATTGCAGGTACTTGAATTCAACAAAATAACCCAATATAGCCCAATAGCCCATAATAGCAGTGAGTTATCAGCACATCAGGCAATTGTCAGAAGTTGTTAACTTGAGCCTTTTACAGCTCAGCATATTAATACAGCTTTATTTTTCATACCTTGTAGTTACACTTTTCTACTGGATGGTTAAGACCAAGTTAAAACAAGACCTGGATAACTAAAAATGTAACTTTTGCTATCTGACAAAGTCAGTCAAATCCCCTCAGGATTTAGCCTGAAACCATGTACAGCACCTTGTGGATCTTTTGTCAGTGTCAGCCATCTGGATGAGTCATGGCCATTGCTTGACCAATTTGCTGTCTGTGAAAGCCTGAGAGAATTTTTTCTCTCTAGGTGACTCTCCTTAGGCACACTGTACATTGTTGATCACTTTCCTCTGTGCCCCTCTTATCTCCTTGATCAGAAAATTTGGGACACCACTGAGTTACAGGATGTCACAGCAGAGGTTCTCTTATGTCCTGAGCCCTCACTGACCTTGGAGGGCTGGGCCAAAATATTGGCTATACTTTTAGCCCATCTCTCTAATTTTTGATCTGCAAACTTTAGTTGTTAAATATCCAGAAGCTTAATGATATTATTACCCTGTAACAGAGGCAGTTATACTTAACATCACTATCTGTCTGAATATCAAACACCTTAGTCATAAATTGGAATTGCTATTTTCCAACTACCATGGATATTCTAAAATTTAAATCCCTGTAGAATGTTAAAAACATTTACACAGTTTTACACAGAAATTTAGAAATTGAACCATATACAACATTGTAGCAGGACAATCCTATGACATTTTTCCTTGTCTCTAGTTTTCTTTTATCACCCTCTTTTTTCTTTTTTGCAAATAAATATTTGCTTTAGAAGGAGTATAGCAATAGTTGATATGACATTAGAAACAGTATGTATTTAGAAGACCAAAATAACAGGTATTTTAAGCTTGGTTTTAGTATTATAGATTGCTGTCCTCTTTGTTCTTTCCTTTTTAAAAATTATATATATTTTCTCTAACATGCACGTATTTTAAAAGGATTGTAACTCAAAGTTGTGCAAATATAACGTAGCTTGCCTATTAGGTTCAGGTTCAACATTAATACATTTCAGTTAGTCTTGGTTTTTATATTTTGAAACTATTGAACTAAAATGCATACTGTCCCTTTTAGGATGACAGAGCCTTCACTGAAGGTTCTCACACTCGTGGGTTAGATCACTCATCCTCCTGGCAGGACCACAGTCGCTTCCTGTCTAGTCCACGATTTTCACACTTGACCTGTAAGTAATAAAGTCTCATACCAGTTCTTAAATTGGGTGTAAGGAAATGTAATTCATAGAAAAAAATTAAGGCTAATACACAATAGTAATATTTGTATTATAAGTTTAAGAATATTTTCATTGTGAATCATAAAGCTAATCCCCACCTAAGTAGTTTTGTAATATTACCTGATTGTTGAAAAAAAATATATTAAATGCCCTTTTTTGTTTTTTGTATTTCTAAGGAAAACTTATATCACTGAAGGTAAAAATGTTGATTAAGCCAAGGTTTTACCTGGAAATTCCTAATAACTGTGGATGAGTGGGAAAAGGAAGTTATTTAATTTTTTAAAAATTCAAGTTATCAATAAAAGAAAAATGTGTTCATATACCTGGATGAAACCTTGTACAAAGAACGAGGATACTAGGGCATGCAGGACTGCATTCTGTGAACCCTTGGGAACGCTGATAAAGTGTCAGGAACATTGACAAGGGCCAGGTGCGTGGGCCGGGATGCCACTGGCTGCCCCGTGTCCCCTCCACACCTCTTCCAGCCCGTGCCTTATCCTCAAGTGCAGCATGTATGGATGTCTTTAAAGGAAGCAGGAATATGGTCCTCCTATTTCCTATTATCTGTTCTTTATTTTGCTCTTTATTTTTCCTGTAGGTTTCTCATACGAGAAACTGGGTGACATGTAAGCTTTGCGTCTGGTACTTTGCTTAGTACTTAACTTTAGGGCCTCGAGATGCATCCTTTTTCCTCCAAATGACTTAAGTTTACCTTTCTTTATGGCAAAGTAGTATTCCACGGGATGTAAGTACCACGTGATTTTAGCATTTAATCTGTTGATGGGCATATAGGCCGCTGCCCAAATTTAGCTGTTGTGACTGGTTGAAAGAGAATCAAGGGAAGGGCTGGGGGGTACAGGGTGGAAAAATTTACTGATACGTGTTACCTACATGTACCGGCTTCACACAGGAATATGACCATTGGGTTCAACACATGTAGTACTAAACTAAAATGAAGAAGACAGCTGATGGGACCGTTCTAAAGGTGGTGTCTAATCAGCTATACACTACAATTTTCCACTGCAGTCTTTCTCAACAAAATAATTTTAAAATTGTTTTAGTGACTGTAAAACTGATTGTTTTAGTGATTGTTTCCTCACCTGAAGAATAAACTCAAGAAAGATAGGAGCAACGCCATTTTGTTCATCATTGTTCACCCCTGTTCATTATTCGCTACATAGTACTTAGCACACATAAAAACCTAATTAAAATTCAGTCATATTACATGAATAACCATATGAATTGTCTTGTTTAGTTTGCTTTTTCCTAAATTATTTGGATTCAAATATTGTTTAATAAATATTTATTTCCATAAAGTTTAGTTCTTCAGTTTACTAAGGGGCTAGACAGTTGTTTGTTAAATTTGATAATCCTGTCATGTAAAGTAGTTAAATTGCTAAAAAGTAATGTAGCTAATTAAGTTACAAAGAAGTTCAAAGTTGGTAACTCACTTTGCTGATTTATATTCATAGATGTGTTGAATAAGTACTTATCAATGTCTGATAAATGGTTTGATTTTCATTATATCAGGATCATTTTATGCCAAAAGCTAAGTACTTTATGCTTCCTGTCCTAGTCATTTTTCCAGGTGATTTTTGTATCTACATAAAACCCTTTGCTATTCTAATATGACAGTGACTGTACAATGTGAATTATGTCTCAAGTTGGATGTAGCACCTTGCAATCTGAAATATTTATATCTTATTCTGGCATTATAGAAAATTACCCAGTTCTGTTTAGTAAACAGAAGAGGGTAGGAGCTCAGCACCCTCAACACATTGGAAAATGCCCTCCATTAAGACATTCAAGAGCTTGAAGATGAACAGCTCAGTGCTATGAACATGAACATCCTTGTTCTACTGCTACTTAATTTTGCTTTTATGACTTTCCTGAGCTTCCTAAAAGGCATCTAAAAGGAAGTGGTTAGAAGATACTGAGTGGAAAGTATCAAGATTCATTATAGTAGGCAATGAAAAAAAACTGTATTCAGTTTTCTACTCTAATATTTGTGACCAGCTTTAGTCATTTCTCTAATTGAGATATCTTTGTCACAGGGAGCCATACATTTCTACATATATATACTGGCTCAAAAGGAAATAAAGTTATACAAGAATAAGAAAATATCATAGATAATATGATTTGAATGAGAAAATACTAGTTACCATTTATATTGTAAAATAACTGAAAATTTAGCTTAAAATTAGCTTAATCAATTTAAAAAATTATCTAATTTATGAATTTAGCATTACATTTTTCTATTTTTGTTAGCAAGTTTGTTTTAGCATTTTCTTCCCATCCCCATATTTTTAATAATACTTTTCATACTTTAAGTACAACTACCCCATCATTAATTATCAACAAATTGAATCAAACTTATGTCTAGAAATAATTTCTTCCTTTTGATTTCCCAAAGAATCTTGAGTTTTATATTTTTCATAATCTGGGATTTTAAATGTTAGGAACATTAGGATCATTCAAAATCCTTCTCCATTTTCCTAGCAAAAATAAATTCAGCTTATAAAATCATTCTTTAATCTTCCTTTAAGCCTCCAAATTTCAAATGAAATGTCAGGACAGAAAAAGACAAAACTGGAACCTCCAGAAAATAGATTATACAGAAAAATGTAGAGGTCACCTTGACGAGATGAAAGAAAATATTAGACCATTAAAAATAAGAGCAAAATACTACGAAAAGTGACACAAGAGTAAGAGGTCTAAGAATTTTAGAATATGACTGATATAGTGACAAAAAAACTAGAAATGTGGAAAACAAAATTCAGAAAACCACCAAGCAAGTAAAGGAAAAGAATGGGACAATAGGAAAGAGATTTAGAAAATCAGTTCAGAGAGATAATACATGATTAATGAGAGATGGGAGGGGAGAAAGCAATGCACGGCCGGACCAGGTGGCCTCAGCCCATTCCCTGCCCGACCCCAGGATTTTTCTTTCCCCTCTTGTGTGCTCATCCCCAAGTGTCTCAGATCCTGTGCTGCATCTTTCTTGTTCCTCCCACTCCTGTTGTATGAGTACATTAAAGACAAGAAAATAAAAGTCCGTGGCTTCTGAAGATAGACTGCTCCATTTTCTCCCTTTCTTCCATTTACATTGAGTCTGACTGGTCTGAGATTCTAAGTTGCAAATGAATTTCCTTCTGGGTCAATGTTGCTACTGAGAAATCACATCTATTTGACATCTAGTTTTTTGAAGTGATCTCTGTCCTCCTCCTAATCCTACTGTTCCCTCTCCAGACCTAGGACCTTTCAGGAACTTTCCTCTTTAGCCCAAGTGAGTTTGCCATGATATACACCAGTGTTGCCTTGCTTTAGTCTATTCTAGTAACTCGTGGATACTCATGTTCTTAAGAGCTTCCACAGTGAAACAAGAAAGAGATTCCACTGAGCAAATCTTTTGGAAGCAAAGAGAACCAGCAGATTATCTGATAGCTAGTTGAGCATTTTGGGAGAAAATAGCTACAAGAGACTCAATAGTAGATCTAATAGAGCTATTAGAAATAAGATAGCCACCTAGCCAAAGCAAATAAAATGAATTTTCACACTGTGGCAATTCATAAACTGTATACCAATTAAGTCTGTATAAGCCATGTTTACTTACATAGTCATAAAAATATAAACACTCAATATTGACATAACTAAAAGTTGAGATGCAGCTAGCTGTGTTGGAGGATAGGAAAGGAAAAGGGTGTGGATTGAAAAATGTCTAAAAATGATAAGTCAAAAAATAGCAGTATAGCTTCTTGTTTCCTTTTTACCTAAATGAAGCAAATACAGAAAATAAACCTGAAAGAGTGGTTGTTGATTGTGGTTGACTCTGGGAAGTGGGACTGTAGGATTAGCAGAGCTGAGCTGAGCTGAGATAGTCCTCTTTTTCTGTGTCACTCTTTGGTGATGTGCATATGCACATGCTAGCTAAAGAGGGATTTTCTGAAGATATGTTCTACTAGGTAAAACAAGTTTTGTGACATCCAGTGTTCTTGCAATCATTCAGCATTTCTTGTTGCCTTGCAAATGGAATATGAAAGCTGGGTTTTGGAGTTTTCAGCTGCTTGGATTTGTGTAGGTCTCAGGAAGTAGAGAGCCATAGTTGTAGGTCAGGCATCATTCTGGGCCCACAGAGCAGGCCCCTATTTCCTCAGGTTGGATGAGGTCCTGTTGTCCACACTAGAGACTCAGAGGCATTCATTCTGCTGACTTAGGTACCCTGTCAACCTGTGACTAAACTAAAGCACAGAATCACTGACCATGGAAAAAACAAAGGAAATGGGAAAATACTGCAAAATTTGTGGTCTCCAAAATGATCCAGCATTAATGAAAGTTTGTTTTAAAAAGTAATTTATGTCAGCTTTGTGTAGTTCAGGTCAATTCATGAAAAGGTAGACTCCTTCTGCCAGGATGAAATGTATAAATTGTGAGTTTATATTACCATTGGAAATAGGAACACAGAAATCCATTATTTAAAGGCATGATCACTACCAAATTTATCCTGGCTAAAAATTATGGCCGTGAGTCAGGAGGCTCTTTTAGAAGACTTGAATTCCATTACCTTCAGCCTGCAGACAGTGGGGGCTTAGTGAAAGAGACTCATAAGGTCAGCTTTTGAAACTGTCAGTTTTACTTTTTATAAGTACTGACTGACCACTAGTCTCCATGTATAGCTCCTTTTAGACTAAAGGAACACAACCCCAGGACAGGGCATCACTCTTAGGGCTGGAACCAGTCTAGACATGAAGGAGTTCTGTAGCAATCTGAGGACTTCTAGAAATCTCCAATTCTTTGAGAATAAAATGCTTCACCTCTGTGGAATTAGTGTCTCTGAATGTGTAAATTGAAAAGTTTCTTTAAATCTAAAACTACACAGATATATAAAGCCAAAAAGAAAGACCTATATTTTCTAATGAGGCAAAAATGTTACCTGAGCATCATTACAGAAATTAGAAGTGAATCATACATTTTATTTTAACTTAATATTCAAAAACAAATCAGTGAAAGTTGCTTTAAAGAATTAACTTCTTTACCTCAATTTACATTCCTATGAAAAGAAAAGTTAGCAATTTTCACTGTGAGATACTTTAGTGGGCATTTAGAGCTCTTGAATGAAAAATTTCATCCAAGAATTTTATGTACAGCAAAAAGAACATACTGTGCTCACTCCTAGATTAGTTTCAGGTCCACCTGCCTGTGAATGGACACTTAATTAAGTTATCCTCATGCTGGTATGATAAAATGCCAACAACTTATGGCATTCAACATATAGAAGATACTGATTGTTTCTTCTCCATTAACAAATTATTTATTCAGTGAAAGTGTTTTCTCTCTTATTCTAGCTCTTGTGCTTTCACTCTGGCTCTCTCTCGCTCTTGCTCTCTCCCCTCCACCACCTCCTCCTCCTCCTCCTCCTCCTCCTCTTTCTCTCCACCCCTGCATACCTCCCTCCCTCTCCCCTCTCTTCTTTCTTCCCTCCCTCTCATTCTTTAGGCTCATTTTACATAACTATGTTTCAGGTTTTTCTGAATGACTAATTAAACATGAGGTATTTCTAAACAATTGAGTTCTGATTGTGGTTATAAGGTGCTCTATAGATACTCTGGGTGCAGCAAGATAGTTTGCATTTGATTCTTAAGCCCCTTAAATATATTCATTTATTAAGCCACTGTTTACTCAGAGAGTGTTCCCAAAGCTTTGTGTTGCTTCTGGAGGAAAAAGTAGAGAATGAGACAGAAAAGGTTGTCACCTCATCTCATGGAACAAAGATAGTGAGTGAGCATGTAAATAATTCAGAGACTGCTGCAACACAGGTAAAATGATGAAAGTACCTGGATCAGGACCACTTATACATGGGTGATTGGGGGTAGCTCAGAGGAGGCTGCCATTGAGTTGAAAGCAGCCAGATTGTAGATTCAGTGGAGTTCTCTGCAGGGTGTGAGGGTCAGGAGAGTGACATGTTCTGGTTGATTTTCTACAAGATTGTCAGGCTGGGTTGCAGGAAGGTGACAGTAAGGAGGAGATACACACAGAAGAGTGGAAATGCTGCCCTGGGCCACGGCCTTGGTGATGAGAATAGAGACAGTGTGATGCAAAAGACCTTGGGAGAAGGTGGGAGGTGGAAGCCTCAGAACTCACTCTCTGGCAGACGAAGTTGATGGGACAAAGGAAAGGACTAAAATTTGAAGACTTTCATGAGGTGTGGCTTGGTGGCTCATTCCTGCAATCCCAGCACACTGGTATTCTGAGGCAAGAAGAGTAAAAACTTGCCCCCAGTGTGGGTAGATCAGTGTTTTAGCAAGAAGCTGTTAAAAAATAAAAAAGAATGAATGAATGAAAGAAAGAAAAAGAAAACAAAAAGAACCAGAAGCCAGGTACAATAGTGCACACCTTTAATTCCACCACTTGGAAATCTGAGGCAGGAGGATCTCGTGTTCATTGAGTTACATAGTGGGTTCAAGGGTAGTCTGAACTACTTAGTGAAACTGTTTCTTGGAAAAAGGATATATTTAGAACTTAAGCAACAAAGCATCATGGGGGATGTTGCTCAAGGAAGCCTTGATTCAATCACCAGTGTTACAAAGGAAAGAAAAAAATTTGAGAACCGTGTGGATAGGTATATCATTTTCTCAAATGGAGACTAGTCAGGGATTCTCAGGCGTTGAACAATAGAAATCAGGAGAGATTGCAGGCCATCCCCAGGGGATAGGCCTGCAGCTCAGGAGGGTAGGAAGAGGTGACAGGAAGACCCACCTTCCAGATCTGCTCTTAGTAGATAAGAGGCTATAAAAAAACAAGAGTCCTGTAAAAAGAAGGCCTTTTAATGATGTTTTCTTCTAGAATTCTCTGTTTATATTATTGTATTCTGATAAAACACATATTCCACTCTCAAGATAATTTCATATCAAACAAAAAGTTTTTATAATCGTGTGAATATGTTTTTGAAAATATAATAAGTGATCATGTTACAGGACTGTTAGTCCACAAAGTTTAGTGACAGAAAGCTTGATCAAAGAAGTATGAGTCATCAACTACCTTCTGCAAAATTAATCTTTAGCCCAGGTTTTGTATTCACATTGCTTTTTTTTCTCTTTTCTCCAACCTTGCCAGCATTCACCAAAAGGACCATTACTCCAGATCCAGCTTTAATCAAGGAAGATGCCACAAGTTTGCCAATGAATGGTGCAAGTCCACAGTCCAAAAAGGAGGAATATGAGGACAAAAAACCAAAATGTAATTAGTTGCTTAACTTGAACACCTTATCTACTCTGCTGCCATCTGGCCCAGGTTATGTAACAGACATACCTCTGGCTTTGGCTCTTTGGTATTGCTGGACATTAACTAAAATGACAATACAGTTAGTCCTTGTGAATGACACTATTTTAAGCAATCCAAATACTATCAACTTATGAACAATGTGCAGCTAATTTATTGGCAGCTTATACTAGCAAGAAAGTAGTATTTTTCACTTTGCATTTTCTTTTTGCAAGTGTGGTCAGTAACAATTTCCTGACCAAAATTTGGTTTTATAATTGATGCCTTTCAAAAATTACTGACTAAAAAGGTGGAAAATGAATTTTCCACTAGGCATAAGTTGCTAGCACCTTAGATTCAGGGAGCATTTATATACAATTGATTTTTTTTTAAAAAAGATGCTTTCTCCCTAATAAATTATCATGTGTTGTAACATGTCCTGGAGATATGCATAGGTATGAGGCAGTCCACTTATAAATGCTTGGAATTGTTGTATCCATCATCTCAGCGATATGTTACTACATATAGTAGCTTAAGATTATTTCAAATCATCCATTTTTAATAGCAATAAAGAATTTATAAATTATAAATCTGAATTGTAGAACACTGTGAAGAATTCATAGCACAGTTTATTTATTTGGTTTTCTGTGGTCAAATATCCCACTGTGATCACTCCAGTCACCCTGGACTATCTGTCATTTAGAATGACCAAAAATCACGGCCTCAAATCCTCACGTCAATGAGGTTCGCTCTGTAGGAGTTCTCCTGTGCTTTGGTACAATCTACCTTCTTTTTGTATCCCAGCTTTTCACAACATCAGTGTTTGTAAGAATTTTTCCCTTTACATGCCAATCTACTGGTGGAGAAAGATTTTTAGTGAATACTGATAACAGCAGATATCTAGGAACAGAAGTCTACTGGGTTATGGTCAAAAGATTCTGAATGGAGACAAGGAAAATAAAGCGATAATGTATATGACATTCTTTGTTAAAATGTAACTTTATTAGATTTCTTACCTTTTCTTGTACTTGCACTCAGAGTGTGTGTTCTTAACTTGCATACTTGAAAGTGCAGCAGAAATGAACTCTCCCTTTCTACAGTGAATGTGAACACGGTTCATACATCAGAACATGGAAATGTTTCATATTAAAAAATTAAATTACATGGACTATATAACCTTTGAGTGTACAGCATGCATTTTATGATTGAGGCCATCACAAACCCTCTTACTGCAATCCCACCCTGTGCGTTAGTCATTGTGGTAGGAGAAAAAAAAGATACAATATGTGTGCTTGATATGACAAGTTCCATGATGTATTTAGGCTAGCCGAGAAAATCTGTGTTATGCTGTATTAAACATGTTTTGCTTCATTTTATTAAATCTCAGAACTTTGTACTGTATTAGTGAATAGTTTTGAGATTTTTGTGAAGTAGCCTGGTGTCCCATTTAACTTCTATCAGTTCAGGGTAATATTCAGGGCATTAAAAAATTCTTCTAATATTTCTCCTGATTAGCACCATAAAATTTTACTCCTTGAGTCTAAATAACAGGGAAGAAAATAAAACATGAAGTTAACAGTTCTTTAAAAGCCTAATATAAAGGTTAAACAGCTTTTCCCTTTAAATGTTAGTAGGCACTGCATACCTCTCATCCTGTTAGAAGGGACTTGACCAGAACCGTCATTAGTCATTAAAATAAATTGCATCAGGGATTTTAAAATGTGAAAGTTGAAGGGAACTCAGATTATTTACTCAGAAAAATCCTTGAAAACATTTTAACTTACGATTTTATAACAAAATAGACAGGGATCTTATAAAAGATCTTTTAAAATACTAAAAAAACAAGGCCATTATATCATCTTATTGAATGCCTTATGCTACTGTTGGATTAATGAAGGTGTCTGACTTTAAATATGGGTCACACAAGAACTTCAAAAGCAAAGTCAACTTTTGGTGGGCAACCATTTTGTCCAAATTCTTTGGCCCTGTGTTTATATGGAATTAAATCCAAGGACCTGTCTCCTCTGAGGAATTTTTTCCTATCTCTTTCAGTTACCATACACTTGAGTTGGAAATCAAAAGGAATGCTAAGGAAACACTAATACCTTGGTTTCTACATTTCAAAGCCACAACTGTTTTTGTTTTACTCACCCCTTTGGCAGGATATCCTCAATTACAAGTGATATGGACTCCATTTGAGTTGTGGCTGGGCAGCCATGTTGCTTGTAGCACTGGGACACTGGAAAGCAGAGACCTTATTCTACGGTGGGCCTGGTCCAAGATTTAATTTGAAGATTGACCTTTTTGGTTTAGTAATTTTGATTCTTCTGGCTGGCTGTCTTCTTAAACACACTAAACTTCCATTGAAGTTGTTGAAGGCCACAGAAGGGAGAAACACAGCTGGGAGAAATCTGACTTGATGTTTTTCCCATTGGCTTAGGTTATATTATTTCCTTGAGTAGTGTCTGACTTGAAGATTGAAAACCAATTAGTTATATAACATTTTATGTACCCAGTTTCCCAGAACTACAATCTCTCCATATTGCTATAGTTTACATACTTTCATCAATAAAGAAATGAAATCTATTTCTTAATAAAATCATGTGCATATAGCATTTAAAGATTACATGTAAAAAATAACCTCTCTATTTACCTAGGAAAACAAGCCTGTTTTTCATTTCTTTCTGATGCATATTTATCATTTTTTGTATCTCAGTTCAGTGGTACGCAGAATATATTTAGAGTTACAGTGATTGTTACATTTTCTGTAATCTGTATTGGGTTTTATAATGCAATAGCAAAAAGTATTTTAAATGAGACAAAACTCTTACAGATAATGAGATGGCATATTTACTTACCAAGCCTTGTAGGAGATAAATACCTCAAATTGTTTTGCTCAGGATTTGTGCTCATTATAAACTTCACATCATATGTAGCGAATAATGGGAATTATCATGAAGTGATTCCCTTTCAAAAATCCTTACTCCCATTCCCCAACCTGTCCCAATATTTTCTCTCAGTTTTAAAGAAAATAAAACAAAATTTGTAATTTTCACAGGCTTCGATTGAGGAAACTGTTCTCATGAAAGCATCTGGTTTTCTTAGATCAAAACTAAACCATGAACTTTAACTGGAAAGCAAACTGGAGAGTTTCTATAAAAGGATTTCATGCACCCAACTCTAATGTAAAAATAGTTACTTCTTTCAACTTTTAGGTTTTCAAATGTTTAGCAACAGTAACATATCAACTTCTCCCTACTTGAGAAAATAAATCTAAACCGTGAAGGATTCCAATTAGTTTCATTTCCATACAAAATACAACACATCTAATTTAAGGCTGGGAAATATGCCTACACCCCAAGCAGAACCTTAGATTCCAGGCCTCCATTTATATTTCAGAGAAGTTACCTTTGCTTTTCATTAGTAAGGAAGTAAACCGATCTACTTTTCTCTAGTGAAACCAGCCTCGCCTCACACACTAATCTGATCTGCTCCATTTTATGGCTTTCTCTCTGCCTACATCCATATCCTGCTGAAATCCAAGCTTGAAGCAAGTTATTCTTTCTACTCTACCAAATCAGCCCTCACGCCTGCTTTCTGAAGTCTGGTAACTGTATAACTCACCCTGGAAAGGCCATCTGGGCTTTGTGGCCCCTGGATTTCTCTCCGGGACCAACTGATTAGAAAATGCTTTATAGGCCAACCTCTGTGGGTACTTACATGGTTGACACCCAAAGAATATTTTTATGTCTTGGTATCTTTTTCCTCTGATACAGCCTGCTTCTGACTTGGTGCAAAAGTGACAATTGTGAATGTGAGGTGGCCCTTCTTTTTCTTTACAGTAGTACATTAGACTTCTCATCATAGCAATGCGTTAGTTCCCTATCAGGAAGATAGTGAAAACAATATATAATCTGATGACCACCACTTTTTGTCATGTACAACTTTATATATTTGAAATGGCTCATAAAAAAATAAATGCTACTGTAGTAAAAAGAGAGCATACAACATTTATCACCTGTACTTCTAATGGAAACTTACCATGCTTTTTGAAGTTGAGCCTGAACAATGCCGTTTCCCAGAATGGATGTTCTGTTTTCCTCAAACTGACAGATGCTAGACTGTCACACTGTCTGTTCTCTGTCATCCTTCCATAGATCTCCGTGACTTGACACACTTTCATTTTTATTCTTTCAGTAAAACATTTTGAGAGGCATTATTTAAATGAAAACACAGATATTATCCTTAGATATTGGAGCTGTGCATCATCTCAGTTGTATATTTCATTGGAATTGCAGTAAAGCACCAGCATAGTAACTTAAAATGCTTTTTTAAAAAAATAAAAAGGTACTAAAATATCAGTAGTTCACATTCTACAATTTAAAGATGGATAATATTCTGAAAGAGGGCTAATACATGTTCTTTAGCTACTAATTGACTCCTTTAATTCTTACATAGCAGCTTATTAAAATCATACTTGCTTCAAAAATAAATGTCAGGTTTGCCATTAAATTAGTTTCCTTTTGTTTTTGTGTTTCTTGAGTTTTCAGTTCAGACTCAGGTGTACTTGTGAATCATTGGAAGCCATAGGGGGGCCGGGGTGTCAGAATGGCTGTTAAAAGCCCAAGCCTTTTGGATAACAATATAAAAATGTACAAGTCTGAGATAGTGTGTCTCTGTTTGCTCTTGGAATATTTATTTCTGTTGGAAAGATTTCCTTCCAATGTCTCTCTTGATTTCCCTCTCTAGTAGCCAGTTGTCTGCTCAGGGACCTCTGAAAGCAGCTCTGTGTCCATTATTTGGGCCAGCCTGGGAGCTAGAGTCACTGTCACTTGTCCTGTGCTTGCTTTTCAAGATATCAGGATAATGACAACCGTAAAGAGTTAGTGAGGTTAATGCATGAAACCATTAAGTTATTTTTCTCAAGATGTGAGCTGTCCTTAACCTTGTATGAAGGACTTCTCTTGGCAAAACAAGATCCTTATTCTTTAGCCTTTGTATGATGCTGATACCCAGCTATTTTTAATGTAGTATTTGCATGTGCTTCAGATGTCAGAGAACCCGTTTATATTTCTTTGCTCTAGGGCCACAAGAACAATTCCTAACATATGTAAACAGTTGCACATAGAATGTAAAATCTAACTTTTTAGTATTTCCCCTTTCTAAGCTTGTTTATCCCCACCCCTGAAGCCAGTTATCCTCAGATCATTCTACATAATTCTTATCCCCTGTTGTGCCTTGTGTAGAAGCAACACTAGTTTAGACTGTCCATTGTTGCTGAGCACTTAAAGGGATACTGGGATGAAGGACGGCAGGAGTTCTGTAAAATGATACAAACACAGAAAGCTGGGTTGCCTTCAGCAAATACACATTTTAAGCTTTTTACAGGAAAGAAAAGACTACGGTAGTGCTCAGTCCTTTATGTGAGGCAGGGTCTTGGAAAGTAGCACCGTGAGAAATGCTGTAGAACCTCATGTATGTTGCAAAGTCATCCTTCCAATCCAAGGTGTACTGAACCTGATGTTCTCTCTGGACTGCTTGCCCGCAGCTTGGATGTGAATGCCAAGTAGCTGTGTCTCAAGTAACTTTTGTCAGGGTGCCCCGTGTTTGTCATTTTCAATTTGCACTTTATTTATGCTATCATTAACCACACTTTGAGTAAAGATACAGGCCTGATTTATGACTTAACATTTAACAGTCTTCCCATCATAATGAACTTCAAGCTCTCAGTTAACAGAAGTAAAAAAGCCATGGTTTAAAACAACAACAACGACAACAAAAAAAAAATTCAAAATTTATCTAACAAGGTGGCTTTGAGAGAGTGGGTGTTAGAAGGGGTTTGAAGAACCCAAGGGATTTTGCTTTTCGTTCCTCCTTGGACTAAGGAAAATAGATGCATCAGTTCTAACAAGGCACTTCCTGCCCAGAGTCACTGGCAGAGTAGTCTCCTCCCAACAGCTGCAGGCTTGAGAGACCTTGCACTGCTGGCCAAGGTTCATTCTGTGCTTTGCCTAAGACCACAGCCAATAAAGCCAGTGTGTACCGTGGAAAGACTTTCCCATTTTTTCCATTGGAGAAGTCTTTTGTGAGGTTAGTTTGACTGCTCCAAATTAACAGTGGTAGCCATTG